TGATGAGGGCAACAAATGTATAGATGTGCTTTACACAATTGATCTATGTATTGTGATGAATTTTATGAGCCCCAATAAATTGATTTAAAGGGGAAAAAAAGAAAAGTAATCAAGGATCAGGCGGTGAAAAAAATATGCATGCTTTTAAAGTCACTGATCTTCATAGCCGAATAAAAAACCACATTTTTAACTCCACAGATTGACTTTAGGTCATATAGATTAGTGATTTTTTTATTGTCTTTCCTCTCATCTTTTTACTTGCCTTTTTAGTTTTCTGATTTATTGTACATTATACAATATTCCTTCAAGTTAATAATATTACTACTAATAAAGGGATGACTAGATGAAATTTTTAAAGGTATTTAGTTCTTTATGTAATAGGACTACATCCTATTAAGACTGAGCAGTATACATACTGTGTTTTACATAGATTGTTTTCATGTTTTGAAGATTGCTCTTTTCTTTAATTTTGTTCATGATATATAAAATAGTTATGATGTTGTTCGGTGCTATTGAGTTGGTTCCAACTCATACTGACCGTATTTACAATAGAATGAATCAGTCATCCTTAAAGTCTTTCCTGTGTTTGAGCCCATTGTTGCAGCCATGTGTCAATCTATGCCATTGAGGATATTTATTTTTCATGAAACCTCTACTTTACCAACCCTGATGTCCTTCTCCAGGGACTGGTCCCCCTGCTAACATGACCATAAGTGAGAGGAAATCTCACCATCTTCACTTCCAAGGATCGTTCTATCTGTACATCTTTTAAGACAGATTCATTTGTTCTTCTGATAATATATTCAATAGTCTTGACAAACGCCATGATTCAAAGGCATCAATCTTTCTTCGAATTTCTTGTTCACTATCCAGCTTTCACATGTATGTGAGGTGATTGAAAATAACCATTGTGTGGATCAGATATACTTTAGTCCTCAAAGTAAAATCTTTACTCTTTAACATTTTAAACAATTTGTGTAATACCAAATTGTAAACTATGTGTGTTAGGCTGTATTCTCAATGGAAGTAAAACTAGTCACACCTAGACATGAATATATAGAGAGAAGTTTATATCAAGAAAAAGTGGCTCACAGAGTTGAAGTGATTAAGTCCAGTTTGGTTCAAAGTCGTGTGACAGATAATAATCTAGAGGTTTTTCCTGACTTGTGTGGCTGCATGGGCTTGGGAAGCTGGAAGATCGCTGTCTGGTGTAGGCAATCCGTTTGGTTAAATCAGATGTTATTGCAGACTGATGATAGCTCCTTGGATTGGCAGGAAAATGGTGAGCCATGACCCAAGTTCAGTGAACCAGAGGTGGATATGACAGATGCAAGATCCACACTAACAAGAAGGGGGGGAAAGTTCTTTTTGGCATCTCATTTTGTGGCTGTCAAATAGCCACACCCCTAGGGAGACATCATCAGGGTGTGACTTGGTTGAGAGATTGTACTTCACTGGTGTGTTCTAATGCTTGCAGCCACGTAACACAAAATCTCTGGAAATCTCGTTTTTATCCTTTCCTACTTAACCTAGTCTCATCTTCTGTCTATCGAAACCATTTGTGTGCGTTTAATCCATCGAATGTTTCCCTTCCAAATCAGAAAGTATATACAGGTATGCATCGCTTAACATCCATGATGTATTCTGTAAAATGAGATGTGTGATTTGTGTGAACACAGTATGTGAGCCTCCTTGCAGTTATTCTTGTCACTGCTCCTGTTTTGAGGAATGGGCATTTGGCAGTGTCAATGGTTGAGAGGGCA